GCTGTAGCCCGTTGGGCTCTGGCTCCGGCCCCTGCTCCAGTAGTGAAATTAGAATCATGGGGCCATGCGTTCCTTTTTCCAAAACGAAAATTATGCAGCCACGTGGGCAGAACAGGTTGGCAAGGACTGTTCTTTTGAATATGAAAGGTCAGGACAGGCAACACCCTAACACAGGTCTGTGAAACGGAGCCCCGGGAGCGTGGACGGTGGAGAGCAGTGACTTGGGGGCCTCTCACGGGGACTGGCCTGAAGCCTGCAGGGCCGTGAGTGACCCGCGTTCCTCCAGGGCGGGGAAAGGAAAGCTGAGACACCAGCTTGCCCTCTGTCCACACGGTAACACGTTCCCTCTGATTTTCCATCGAGGCTTCTCGGAGGAAGAGAACCAGTGGATGGCCCAGATAAACAGGCTGCAGAAACTCATCGACAGACTGGAAAAGAAGGTGGGTGCTTCCACTTCTTTCTTCTCCCCTCGCTTTTCAGTAGATTGTGTCGTGTTTCTTGTCACCACCCCAGCCAGCACCCTGGCTGCCCAGGGCTGAGGCCCAGCCAGGATCCCAGTAGTGCTGTGAATGGCTGCTTGGGAGTTCCTTGGGGTTTTGTTAAAGCAAATGCAGGAGCCGCAGTTAGTTCTCCTTCCCCCACCCACTCCTGTTACACGGAGATATAGGCTGTGGTGGTGCCCGCGAACTCAGTCTGCTGCGTCATCCGACTCAGGCTATCGGACACGGATGCAGAGGGCACCTGTGTGGGGACCTGGCTGCCTGCTGGGCACGGTGACTGGGGAGGGGCTGTGTGACATGCTGAGAGAGGAGCCTGCACACTGGGCTTCTGGAAAGTAGCATATGAAGTGATGACTTCCAGCATGAAAACCAGCCCATGAGGAAGACTTCCTCAGAACTTGTGTTTTCCTGGCTGCTTTGATGAGTCCCCGGCAGCCCTGACGTTGTGGTGACTTCCTTTGGACGGCTGGCCGGAGAGGCCGTTCTGTCATCATTCAGAGCGTGAGTTTTCTGCACGCGCCAGGCCCCAAGTCAGCCCTTATGTCTGAGACAGTTACCGACTGCGCACCATCCAGTCTGCTGGCGAAAGCGCTTCTCCAGAAACAGGAGCCAGGCTTTCTGAGTGCAGCGATGGAGGACCAGCCCAGAGGCAACGCCCAGGAAACGTGGCAGCACTCGCCGCCACCAGCCACCTCGCCCTGGCGTTTTCTTTTACTGTCCCTCCTCCCCTCTGTGCGTTCACGAATCTCGTGTCCACTTGTTCTCTTTCCATGGCATCAGTAAGCTTTAGTAATGATGGACTGAACACACCTGAAATGGCTTTTCACAGTCAATCCAGAGGATGAGAGTCTGTATTGGGACAACTTAGTTTTAAAAAAACCTGAATTATTTCATCTCCTTTCAGATAATGTGGTTTTTCTGATTCAATAACAGCCATAAAGAAGCTTGCATTCAAATATATGGTGTTTCTCATAATCAACTTCTGTTCTCCCCCATCCAACCCCCCATCCCACCCCGGCCCTCTGATTTTGTCCTCTAACTGAAGGATCTTAAACTTGAGCCTCTGGAAGAAGAAGTTACTGAAAGGAACACTAAATCTGTAAGTACTTTTTCTGGGTCAGAATTTTAAAAATATGTAATTCGAAAGCATGATTTAATTTTTTCAATATTAGTTACTATCTCAGTGAAAATTTTAAAAAGTGTAAGGAATCCATGGGCATATTTCATTTTGCATGGCTAAGTAGTATTCGCTAAATGTTGACTTGTGGAAACCCAGTGCCAGCCTCACAGGGTTTTTGTGGTGCTCCTGGTGGGTGCTGTGCACAGGAGTGAAAATTTTACGCATGTGTAAATCGATGAGCTGTCGAGTGAGCTCATGGGTATGACTGGCGGCCAAGGGCAGGCTCCAACCGCATCTCAGACGCGTCTTATGCTCCCTGTCAGCTCTGAGCCAGGGCCAAGGCCGCTGAGCTTTACAAGATCTGTCACCCGCAAGCCTTGCTAATTCAACAGTGCATAAGAGTGCTTAAGACATATCACTGAGCAAGCTGGTCAGGCGTCAGTGTTATTTAAAAGCAGGGAAGGATTTTCCTTAACTATTTTCAAGCCTGTGTAAAGGTGAAGTAGTCATGCCTTTGGGGATACATAGATAGTAATAGTCTGAACTGGTTTGTTTCTTCAGAAACACCACTAAGATAGTTGTCATTAAAAGTTGTATTTGTTGTTAGCGGTTGTACCTGCATTACTGCTCACTCACTCCACGGTCTGTATTCAGAGCGACCAAAACAGTTTGCGCTCTTACTTCACAGCGAGTATTCATGACTGTATGGCACCGTGTTGAGTGACTTCTCCTGGTGAGCAAAACAATTTTAGAATTCATGGACTAGAGAAGTGTTTCCTTTCCCATATCAGAAAGAGAAGAACAAACCTGTTCTACACACTTCCTGTCTAAAGGCTAATCTTTCCTAAGCCTTCACTGCATGCCAGCTGTTGTGCCAAACGCACATGTACCTCGGTTCATCCTCACAGTTGCCTCATGAGACGGTGCTGCTATGGGCCCATTTTACAGCTGCAGAGATTGGGGTGTAGAGACGTGGAATCGCCCCAGCTGCGCCCCAGCAGTCATGTGTGAGGTCTACACTCCTCACACCGTAACGGCCCCCGTGGCGTGATGTACCCTGCCAGGCACAGAGGGACACTCGCATTTTGCTAGCGAGTTGGCGAGCTCACAAGTGACTGTGTTTTGTGAGATTTCCCAGCCCTAGAGCAGAGCAGGCGGCCGGGCAGGCTGGTAACCACACAGCCAGTCCTGGACCCCAGTGGCTGCCATGTCGTTCTCTGGGACGTGAGCCATTTCGTAACGATGAGTGTAAGATATTTCTGTTTTTAATAAGTTCATTATTTTCTCAGCCCAGGATAAGAGAAGTAACATTTATTATCTGTCATGGGCAAGGTCTTTACATACACTGTTCCACTGAATCCTCCCCAAAACTCTATGATATCATTAGCTGTACTCCAATTTCACGTATAAGAAGACATAAGATGACAAAGATTAGCGTGTTCTGTCCACATAGCTGGTACAACTGAACCAGTTCTTTTAAATCAAGTCCCCTTAACTTAAAGGGGAAAGAAGGACAGAGGACAAGATGGTGGCGACAGGTAGAGAGCCCCCAGGTACACACGGTGCTCTAGAGGTTTCCGGACTACCTCACATCCTTTGCTGGGATGACTAATGTATAAATATAATTATTAGAGGAATTCTAAGTACAGGCAATGGCTGAAAGTGAAAGCATGTTTTACTGGTTTGGTCCACAAATAACGGATCACTAACTGCATGCCAGGCCCTGAGGGAGGACCTAACGGGGGTGACTATGGCGGCTGGAAGTTACATGTGAGTAACTGGAAGGAAATGTAGGCAGTGAAGCGGGGTTCTGCAGTAAGGCATGACGAGGATCATGCCTGGACAGCAGGTCAGCACAGCAGGGGAACACCACCGGCTGCAGCGGCCCAGGAAGGGCTGCCAACGACACAGTCCTTAGGATGAAATAAAAAAGATGAGTAGCTGTGAAAGCAATATTTACACGTGTCCTACAACATTGCACTAAGAGAACCCTGAGGGGCTATGTAGGAATATAAAATGTTCCAGTGATTTATTGCCACCATGTCCTAAAGAGAACAACCTTAGGGATTCACAGTTTTATTCTTTTTGTAATAAAATAGCTACATGGACATCAGGGATAAGACCAGATCTAGCTGTGGCCCTGGAGACGGTGGACTGTGTAGTCAGTCAGCCGTGGCCCTGGAAGGTGCACTTTGCTTTACAGCCTGGAGTCAGCCACTTTCTGCCTCTGGTCATCAAGTAACTATTTGCTGCCTCCTTTTCCCATATATATGGAGATGACCTCCGAGTCTCTCCCCATTACTGCCTCTAGCTCAATTCCCAGGATTCCCGAATGAGGTCAGCCTTCTGTTCAGGTCAGGATTAGTCCCTTAGGTCTGACNAAAAAATGGCATTAAAAGTGCCTGAACAAAAAGTCCTAACTGCACAAGGCTAAAAAGCATAAAAGAGCCAAAGGGACAGGTGAATCCAGTGGTGACAGGTTAGAGGAGCTGAGCAAGCAGCCCCCCTCCCCCCAGTGGGCAGGGGTCGGGCCGACATTCTGGTGACAGCTCCAGCCAGCCACCAGATGTGCCCTGGCTCCTGTGGGGGTCGGGGCACAACACTCAGAACAGGCGTGAAGGGAGATGGGAAACCCCCCCAGGTGCTCTGCCCCCAGAGCACTGACACCGGCCTCACCCTCCAGTGGGGGGCACTTCTCAAGGGATCTCTTGGTCCAGGAGTAGGTGTCCCCTGGTGAACAGCCTGAGGAGGATGCGGGCTGGAGCCCTCACCACACACAGATCCAGGTCATCCCTGTCTCTCCTTCCTCTGCAATAGACAGGGCCAAGCAAGACAGCACAGCAAGCCCGGAAGGGGGTCTGAGCAGAAACTGCCCGGGGAACCGAGAATAGCCTGCGTTCGTGAGCTAAGGACAGGATGCTGTTTTTTAAAAAGAATATTCAAAGCACACAGAGGAGCCCTTGGAAACTATGATTGCGGAAAGTAAAGCCTCTGAGGAAGATTGGGAGGCAGTGTGATGCCGTTTCCACAAAGAGACGAAAAGTAGGAAAGAACAAATAAGAAAACTATCGGGTAAGTCCAAGAGGCCCACTATTTGACAAGCAGTAATTCCAGGAAAAGAACCAAGGTGAGAAATGGTCAGAGAAGTCAGTCTGAGAGCAGGGAGTGTAAATAATAGAAACCCGACCCCCAGGCACGGGCAGGCTTTTCAGCTCACTGCCCCAGGAAGCTGGACTTGGGGGGCTGAGCCCTGACCCTGGAGCTGACCGCTGTCTCTGTCATTAGGCGAGGGCCGGCCAAGCCAGAGGTCCTGTCCATCCAGTGGCCCGGGAAACGGTCAGGTCGCCGAGTCTACAGACACAACAGCTTCTCCCCCAACAGCCCTCAGTTCCCTGGTCCAGGTAATGAATGCAGCTTTGCGATTTTTCGATTCTTCTTCTTCACAGCTGGCTCCATGTGTGTTTTCATAGTGACTTTTTGTTTGTTTGTTTGTTTGTTTTATTTATTTATTTTTTTTAGCTGAGCCATCCTGCCACCTGTTGGCAGCTCAGCTCGGGCTGGGAATCGAACTGGCAACTCTGTTGCTCAGAGCGCACAGTCTTGGGCAAGCTCTTAACCAACGGGGCCACTCGGCCCACCCATAGTGACTTACTTTTAACCCTGCAGCCAAAACGGTAGGAAGGGGGTGTGTTCCTGATGCCAGTGGGTCTGTCTGAAGTCAAAGTGGCCAAGAGGCTTTTGTGTTAAGAACTGGGGTGATGGTCCCACCGTTGTTCTGTCAAACCCTGGCTGTGCCGCCGGGCGGGACATGGAGACAGCGGACAGGGAGGGCTGGGGCACGGCCGTCTCTTCACAGAGGAACTGCGCTTCCATCTCAGCCTACTACGCGCTGCACCCCAAGCCCGCTGGGCACACTCTGAGTCCATTGGAGGGGTCCCTTGTTTCCCTTCACGATGGGACTAAAGTCAGCTGCTGGTTTTGAACGATGTAATGTAACATCAGGTTTATTGGACTAAAACCGCAGTAATAGTTGTTAGGCTGCTGCATTTTAACCACGTCATTTATAATAATTACTTTCAAATC